AACAAAATTAATTTATTTAACAACAAACATACAACAAGGAGAGAGATTTGCAAAGCCAATAATCAGTTGGTCCACTATTCCTCCGAATTGCTCGGAAAATACGGTGGTCTAAGCTCAAATAAAGGCTATCAATCAACTCCTGATCAACTTGGTGCCATGCTTCGATTATCGCTTTTTTCAACTCCTCGACGCCTGCGGATCGCTTGTTTTGGGCGTAAATTCTCCACACCATGAAGCCCATACATTTTCCATCGGATTCAAATCGGGGCTGTTCGCCGGCCAGGGCAGAAGTGGAATCCGATGCCGAGAGAACCAAGCTTTGGTGCTCTTGCTGACATGGATTGGGGCGTTGTCTTGCATAAAAGAAGATTTCGGTGCCGATTCTGACGCTAAATATGGGAGAAGTGCACGGCGCATAACAGTCCGATAAAAGGACGAGTTCATCTTCGTTGGCACAAAACATAAACGGATACGCTTACTCGACGAGATCGCGGCCCAAACCATGACTCCTCCTCCCTTGAAGTTTCGTCTGGAAAAGTGAAGTTTTTTCTTCCTCAGGTCGTGCCAATAAAATCGGTTTCCGTCTGGACCATCACAGTTGAACTTCTTCTCATCGGAAAAAACGACCTGAAGAACAAAAACCATCAAGAGAAGGAAGGTCAAATGTCAGCACATGACGAACACCTTATTCCATTCGGTTCGGCTGNGATTGGGGCGTTGTCTTGCATAAAAGAAGATTTCGGTGCCGATTCTGACGCTAAATATGGGAGAAGTGCACGGCGCATAACAGTCCGATAAAAGGACGAGTTCATCTTCGTTGGCACAAAACATAAACGGATACGCTTACTCGACGAGATCGCGGATCAAACCATGACTCCTCCTCCCTTGAAGTTTCGTCTGGAAAAGTGAAGTTTTTTCTTCCTCAGGTCGTGCCAATAAAATCGGTTTCCGTCTGGACCATCACAGTTGAACTTCTTCTCATCGGAAAAAACGACCTGAAGAACAAAAACCATCAAGAGAAGGAAGGTCAAATGTCAGCACATGACGAACACCTTATTCCATTCGGTTCGGCTGCACCTTCTGGCGAAAGCAACCCGATTTTCTCGATGATTTTTGTCATGAAGGGTGCCTTACGCATTTTCCTCTTGACGATGAACTGAGACTTTCTGATGACCCTCCAAACAGTGTCCTTTGAGACATTGAGATTCAGTGAAGATCGGATTTCCATGCAGGACTTGGTGGTGTTCGACGCTTCCCTCAAAATACGGCGCTTGTCTCTGTCGGAACTGGTTCCACATTCTCCAGGTTTCTTGATGAAGTTATCCACAACTGCGTGAGATCGACCCAAATCTCGCGCGATTCTGCTAATGTGACAATCCCTGCTCCTTTTTCGCTAGGATTTGACCTTTCTCGAAGTCCGAAAGCAAGCTTCCAGCAAGCATTGTAGACGAATATTAGTAGATCCATAGGTTGGTCGTCTAGTGATGAACTCTGTAGCTTTCACTGTATGACGTGTCTCAAGCGGAAGGCGAAGAGTGAACCTTCAACCGACGGTAGAAAAACGGATTGCTCCGTTCTTTGCGATGCCTCGATACCATGTGGATCACCTTTTATTAGTCTCTATTATGGCTGGTTGGATTCTCCAGAATTTTCAATCTCTATACCACATAGAAACTATAATAAAGATATCATATTGACAAGAATGTACAGGAAATAAGCAAGTGCTCAAGTCCCCTCCTGTGATACTCACATCGAAGCAAGGAAATCTTTTGAAATGGAACTGCAGGTGCCTCGCCAGAACTTGTTTTCTGCTCTGCGGGCTTTGTTGAAACCGAGGTACGGATTTGTATAGTAAGAAGAAGTGCTCACGCTCGCACCTCCCTTTGCAGCTGGGTACCCTTTGATTCACTTGTTGACTCATTACTCACCTTCACCTATTTTTTTTTATGCCCGGGCAGTATAAAAAATAAATAAAAAAATATAAGATATAAAATTATAAAAAATCGAAATATGAAATTCGCCTCTGGCACCGGCTAGTTCAGTGCATGCCTCGCCTCCCGTGAGCAGAGCTCTCTAAGTTCACATGCGCTCTATTGATCTTGTCCGATATCCAACCCACCTTGAGATCAACTCGACTTCTTCATGTGCTTCTTCAGAAAACACTGAATTTCGTGAAAAAAAAACAAACAAACAGGCACGAGCGTTTCATAAATAATTTGGGTGGTAGGTTTCATTCTTGCAAGCAGGCAGGTCGAGTCGTCAAAAGTCAGAAACTACACCTAACTTTGTTTTCCCCGATAGAAATTACCCAGTTACATACCGTTCACAAAGCTACATCCTCTAACTAAAGCGTTCTGTAGCCAGTTCTCTTTTTTGCTTTTCAGTCAGAATTCGATACCAGTGCATCTTTTGCAAACCCGACAAGACATGACTCAGAATCTATCATTCACTTGAAGCTCACAAAATAAACCAAGCATTCAATCTCATTCTTTTTCGAGAACCAGTGTGCTACATATTTTTCTATGCCTTTGCAAGAATTCTTAGCAAATTAAGCCACGGCCTGATAGCATTATCAAACCCTCTTATCAAAGGGTCTACCCTTGCCGTGGAGTAGAATGATTGAGTTAGGTGTCAGTTTGTCTTTCCGTCCTTTTTACTTCTGGATTGCCTGAAAGCCTGGTGTTAAACTTGAACAATAGCCGTAAAAAAGTTTAGGCGTGCATAGCACACCCTCAGCATCGCCTGTTCTACACAAATTTCCCTGTTTTATGGATTGTTCCAGAAATCAGTAATGAATTTTCGTATCAAGCATCCCCATTCAGAGAGGTTCCGCTTCACAGCGGGAGAGTCTTCGTTAACTCAGCCGGTAACTCCCTGCTCACCTTCAGTCATTTCTCCTGTACATGGATTACTTTAAAAAGTGAGAATGGGTGGAAAAACAGAAACGTCAAACTTTGTTTACGCTGTGGTTATTAATAAATAATCAAACATAATGAGCTCATGACGGTGAGAAATGAAGTTCCAACGTTTGGATTGACCGAGGAAGGGGGCGTGAGTTATGGTTACAAAACACTTTTAAAATTTTTTTAAGATAGTGCTGGCATCGTGGATCTCGGACCAGGAGAGCTCAAGGAGTTGTGAAAAAATATCCGACAGATAGTCATTTTCGAATTTCATTTCAATTGGAAGGCACAGTTCACGATGAAAAATGGTTTTGAAGATTCCCTCCTAGGATTACGCAGAGGTCTTTGAGGATAGCATAAAGGACGCTATCGAGCCAAAACATAAAGAGATAGGGCATACTAGGAGGTCGGCGTCAACACCCATCGACCAGATATTATGTCAGTTGTGGAAGCGATACAGAGTGCAGTATTCGCACCAGGACCCACACGTTCAGCATGCAATCACTTGATTGCTGAGTGGTGGGGGATGTTCTACTCTTATCCCATGCTTTGTTATGTTTTTTGCTGCTGCTGTGATTCTTCTGATACCCTACCATACAGGAATAAAAAAGCTGAGTCATTTATGTTGTTAATCGTGTCTTTGTTAACTTGTGCTATGTGCTTTTAAGTGTTTCTGTCGTAATTATTTCATTTTTTATTGAAACATGCCGATCCATTTAAAATCATTTTTTGCATGCATAGTCAGTTTTACGCAACTGCACACATTGCAGACAGCTCGCCCTTCACCCTTTCACGACGCTTTTTTCTGTCTGGAAGTCGTCCGACCCTCTGTTTTACTATTTTTCGAACCTTTGTACTTCCTCAGATACGCCGACTCTTGCGTTCTCTTCTCCTTTTTTGCACTATTCCGGACGATCACTCTCATTATCCTCCGAAGACCAGATACCCAAAAATCATTGCGAGTTGTGCCTTGAATAAAGTGTGTCACTTAAAATTCTCGAACGGCAGAAGAATTTCAATAAAACAAAGATATGAAGTCAAATTACTTGAGAATCAGCTGTACATTCGATGAGAGGTGGAGACGTTGAAGAACATATAAAGAAATTTTGAGTTGAACGCCGAGATTAATGGCATAAACGCTGGATCTGTGTTACATACATACCCAGAACGAATGTCCACCGATTTTCACTTCAATTTTACCCTGTTGTCCATGTGGTACCAGTAGTAATCATGTGCGGGGTTACCGCACGGTTATCGCCAAATATACTGCGCACACCATGAATAAATATATCAGTTTATCAAATAGTGCTCGAGATAAATGGAGATCAGTCCAGTCGCTGACGTTGTTGGAGATCGGCTGGATGGAGGCATGTCAGTAGGCGGAAGGTGTCGGGCCCAGAGGCGACAGGCAGGATGGGCAGGAACAACGGGTGTGCGGCTTGATCGTGGGGCGCAGATGCTGACGACTGTACTGAGTGCCCCACAGGAGGCAAAGGCGGACCTTAAGTATGCGTGATGAGATGAGTCACCAATACCGTAACATAACGTTATANATATACTGCGCACACCATGAATAAATATATCAGTTTATCAAATAGTGCTCGAGATAAATGGAGATCAGTCCAGTCGCTGACGTTGTTGGAGATCGGCTGGATGGAGGCATGTCAGTAGGCGGAAGGTGTCGGGCCCAGAGGCGACAGGCAGGATGGGCAGGAACAACGGGTGTGCGGCTTGATCGTGGGGCGCAGATGCTGACGACTGTACTGAGTGCCCCACAGGAGGCAAAGGCGGACCTTAAGTATGCGTGATGAGATGAGTCACCAATACCGTAACATAACGTTATAGAGCTACGCTATGTTGCAATGAAAAGGGCAGGCGGCTCCCTTGACCCGCACTCACGCTATTGACCAGTTATCGACACATTCGCCCACACTAGCTAACTTACCGCAATGCTCACAACTCTCGCGACTCTTACACCTCCCCTTTCCCAAAAAAAGTCCGTCCTCGGACTTAGACGAGGGGACGGAAAAGGAAGAAGGAAAATAACCCACCTTAGATTTTCGAGGCATTGTTAGGGGTTTTAGAGGAAGTATCCCGTTAATCGAGAAGGTCGGGGAGTGTGGCTGCCGTGGTGACGGCCCCACGGTTGCTAGCCCAATGGAGGATGTCATGCCAGTGGGACAAGCCTGTTAGAGACTTCTCGTGACCTAATACGAATTGGCCGTGGCGGCATCTGGAGAGAGCGACATTAAGGCGATGTGGATCGTTCAACAACTCTCCACGTGCGGGGTCGAATCCAGTACGCGTCGTCAGGAGTATTACTATGTCTTTCTCACGGCCTTGTACAGAATCGACCGTATGAAGATCGACGGCGGACGTCTTGGCGAACTGCGAAAGGGCGCGAGACTGTTCTTTATAGAAGTCTATGATGGCGATGGACGACGGACGAACGTCTTTGTGAAGGAGACTAAGAACGATTTGACGGCAGACTTCTGCTTCTGCTTCATTACTGTGTGACCCGCCGAGAGACTTCATCGATGTTCCAGGGACATCCACGAACAAGAACGGTAACTGAGGATTAGGGCAACGAACTACTGACAAGAAGAGAGGGCGATCCTCGGCGCGGGTACCGCTCACGAGCTGATGTTCGTAGAAGACTAAATTAGGAAGCTCATTTAAGAGTGGGTGGGCTCGGGACGTAGTAGTTAACGGTGCGACAGGAACTCCCTTTTCTAACGAGCGGGATTGGAAGAGCGGGGGCATCTTGCGTGTGGTTCCAATTGTCGAGTGTCGCCTATGTAGATGTGACGGACATGCGGCAAATGAGTAGCTAAGGCCACTAATGCGGGTTCAGGGATCTGCGAGGCTTCGTCTCCTATCAATGTGGTGAAGGAATCAAACCATCCGCGGAAAATGCCATCTGCGGCGATGCTGTTCAGAAGCGCCGATGTCGTGATACAAACGACTGCGGGGGGCCAAACTTGGAACATGATGGTTATGGTCTTCTTCGTGAGGTCAGAGATGTCGCGTTCCGCTAGGCGATATTCATCGCGTTCAGCTTTTGACAGTTCGACGGCGAGATCATGGTAGAACATAAAGCGCTCTAAGAGCTCCCGACCTCGTTTGTATTTAAGGCACGTTTCGAGAGACTCTGGAGAAAGGGCGTCTGCATAGTTTTCAGGCAGCTGCTTCAAGATGGTGTGGAGGTGTATGGGCGTCTGTGGTGCTCCTTCGATTAGGGCAGCATCAGACACGTAGCGCAGGATGTCAAGGTGGTTATAGTCGTCGAGACGTAGCAAAGTGTCCGTGAACTGGGCAACAGCTGTATTAGTCGAGGTAGTGGCGATGACCCGTTCGCTGAAGTCAGAAAATGTTCGTGCGGCGATGAGAGCACCAATGACTGTCTTGCTCGTGCCAAAAGCGGCTTGAATAGCCAAGATAGGGAGACGACGTGCGCTCATTTCTAGTGCTGTGACTTGATCGGGACGAAGTGCGAACGATTGACCTCCAACTGAAACTGAGATGTTTTTTTGTTGCGGACCAACAGGCCCTCCCTCTACACGTTGCTGGCCGTAAACGGTATTCAGAACAGCGGCAGCTTGCGAGTTTTCCCTGAAAGTGCCAAAGAGTTCCTGCTGCGAGATGAGCTCATAGAGCGGCTCGGCGCCGGATGGTGGCGGAGCTAGTTTAACACAGACTTCTAGGTGGTGATGTTATTCCTGGTAGTGGCACGACGAGAGACGGTGCGGGCTGCGTAGCGGTGGGCCCAGCCAGGGACGACCAAACGCACTGCTACGGAGCGCTGCTCGTAGGAGTGTTCTGCCTGCTCAATAGTAGCCCGGAGGAGAGAACGTGCTCCGACGATCCATAGGTACACTGGCCTTTGGTTTGTCCATCCGCATTCAGAGGACATGTCCGCGATGACAAAGTCTAGTCGGAGTGGAAACGCGCTCAAGTCGGGCACAATGGCCTGTATCATGTGCGTTCTTCTGTCGTCGTTCATATGATTAGCGGCTGCGAGAGCCGAACAAGCTACGTTGAACAATTGTGCCATCCGCTGCTGTGCGCGTCTGGGATTACGCCGATAATTGTTGAAGTCTCTAGAGCGATCGATAATCCAATCCTTCTCATTGCGAGACAACTTGAACACTTTGAGTGGTAGGATGCCCTCCTCTGGGTGCGCTGGGAGAAAACTACGCACAAGTCCACACAACGTACGCTGAGCATCTTTGAATGCGGGAAGTTCCGAAAAACGCATTACACAAGAGGCGTTAGGCCTCGAGAGCGCAGAGACAATCTCGTCGGGTTCAACGTCGGTGATGGGAAAATCACAGACACTAGGAGAGACAGCCACTGTTTCCGGAGCGCCTTCGAATGCTACTTTTAGTCCTTTAACGGTATCGTAGCGAACAAGCAGAGACATGACTATGCCAAACGTTCTCCGGGTTGAGGAAGGGGGAGTGACCAAGACGAATTCATGCACTCGGAAAAGTACGGAAAGCGAGTGTCCAAGGCTGTGGCCTTAGGGACGCGTGCCTGTCTGAGGGCTGTGGCAGGATCCCGAGGGCTGCTCTCGTGGGTTGGACCGAATAGACCCATACGAAATCCTTCACAGAAAGAAGTGATTTGTCGAAACCCCGCGTGCCGCTGAGCACGTTTGTAGCGAATTGATCCAAGATAATAAGATGTAATTCGCGACGACCCGGGCCGGGGATGAAGAAGTCCTTGGCTTCCAAGACGACTCCTTGCCCAGCGCCCTTGTTGACGACCTGGTAGAGGGCCGGAAAATGAGGGCGTAACTCAGGGAGAACGACAGATGGTGCTGATCCTTCGGGGGTAGTCGGCAGAGTGTTCTCAGTCGCAACATAGTCGCCGTTCAGAAGTTCGTCGATGATCTCCTGCGAGGTTTTCCGGAAGTGGACTGCGTGATCTAACCGCATTAACTCTACGATGGGAAGAGGGCGACTACGATTCGGACGTTCTCTAAAGACGTGGGGAAAAAGACGCTTTACGAACTTAGTCGAAAGATAACCGCCACTCGGAATATGACCTTAGAGCTCGAGGTTGATTTCACTAGTAAGATCTTCTGCGCGAGATGGAAAAGAGCGGTCACGAAGAGAGACCAGGCTTGCCCATGGATGACAACCGAAAAGACGATGGGTGAAGTCCGGAGGCGTAAACTCGGGGAGATTCAAGTTAGTTATTACCGTTAATCGACTGGTGGAGACGCGGCGAGAAGAAGGAGCTGGGGCAGTCGGCACTGGCGCCGGTGCTTGATTTGCTACGACTTGAGCGGCTTCTGCGGCTTGCTGTCTGGCGATGACGCTTGCGAAAGAGAAGGACGGTAGGTTTCTGAGTTTGTTGGTAGGGGCTACCGCGCCACTGCGTGCGTTCAGAGATGATGCTGAAACGACCGAGGCTGTGCGCGGAGGAGTACTAGCTCCGACGGATTCAACGTAAGGAGCAGCCGCCCCAGAAGAGGTCTGGTCCGAGCGGAAGCGGAATAGCAGCAATACTTTCGGCGGATGACATCTCAGACTTCGGCTCGAGAAGCGAGTCAGTCAGCGAGTCAGCGAGTACGCCGGAAGACATCTACGATTTGACCGGAGAAGCGAGGAGATCTGGAGTCAGGAGTAGCTCACGGAGCTCCTGCGCGGGAACGAGACTCTCCAAGTCGGCTACTTCGAAAAGCACGTCTGGCTCTAAGTCTCCAATATCGGGTGGTGTCTCCTTCGATCGACTGGGGAGATGGGGCAGCGGTCCTGAAAAGGCATATGATAGGGACACGCTAGCTGGCAATGATGTACTACCTGATTGGTCCATCTCTTCGACTTGACTAAGGGGTTCATCCGTCGACGGGGGCTCAGAGCCTTGGAGTGCGACCGGATCTGTAGGATTCATTAGCGCACGCACTTGCCTGCAAGGGCTCATATAAGATGTGTGTGGCGTTTTGCCAAAAGACGCGTTTTCTCGATAACAGCGAACACGCCGATGCATTGGAAATTAACGGCACGAACGAAGAAAAGTAAGGGATTAAACAATACGAAAGGCTAGGTAAATGATAATGATAATGGGATGAGGTGACCATGATCAAACGGAAGTTGTACGTTTACGAAAACGCGTATTATAGTTGTGCGAAATGAGAGGAGGAGAGGGCGTAGGTGGTGGAGAGAGCTCGCTCCTATGATATCCAGGAAGTTGAACAGAAGAAGCTTCATGATGAGACAGAGCGGAGGCTTCTTCACGAGGGACCCACGGTGAGGTGAAAACAGGACCGGAAATTTTGAAACATTTCTTGACCTGATTCATATGAACTCGTTTAGGTGGTGCTTGGGGAGAAGAAATACTAGTGTTGACCAAATGAGGGTGGTCTACTCTGATGACTCGAATCTGCCCCAACCAAGGGTAGCAGAGTTTAGGAGACAACCCGATTTTGGGAGCAAAATCTCTGAGATAGACGCGATCCCCAACTGCAATCTTGAGAGGTGGGAGTCCTGACTTATCATACTGCTTTTTGAAGCGAATACTTTGTTGGATGTTAAAGGCTGAGGATAAGCTCCAAGCAGAATGCAGAGCAGAGAGTAATGATTCTTTGTAGATGCTAGCCTCTGTATTGGAGGGAATATGTCGAAATAAGCTACGTTGAAGCATGAGATCGATGTTAAGGACCGGATCACGGCCAAACATGAGGAAGAATGGTGTTTCATTAGTACTTGTATGGATACTCGTATTATAGGAGAAGACACATGCAGGAAGATACGTATCCCAATCTAATTGATTGTCACTGGTGTAAGTGCGGAGCATCGCTCGAAAAGTAGCAAAGACCCTTTCACAAACACCATTGCCTTCGTGATGGTAAGGTGTGCAGAAGTATCGATGAATACGTAGTAATTTACCTAGTTCAGAAATGAGCTCACCTTTAAGATAAAAAGCATTATCAGCGATTAATTCTGTCATAGCTCCGTACTTCAAAATGCATTCGCTCATCAAGGCTTGAGCTACTGTAGGAGCGGAGCTATCAGGAAGAGGCGAAGCGATAACATATTTAGAGAAATGATCAATGAGGCATATAATGAACTTATTCGAAGAAGCTGACGTGTGGTAAGGACCACTAAGATCCATATAGACTTTGTGAAAGATTGCCTCGGCATGAATGAGTAAAAGTTGCTCACGGTTAGCGGCATGACTCCGCTTTCTTTGGCAGGCGTCACAGGAACGTACGAAGCGAAAAACATCTTCTTTCATATTTAACCAAAAATATTTGCGAGCAATTTTACCTACCGTCTTGTTCCAGTTAAAATGTCCGCCCGCAGCTGGACTGCTGTGAAAGGCGACGCAAAAGGCTCGCGAAGTTTAGCGGGTAAGAACAAAACTTCGTACCTGTGTCCAGTGTGATAAGGGGATACATAAAGACACCCGTTCTTACGAATATGGCAGCGGTCCATAATAGACATAGCATTGGATTTGTCGTTGCCTGATGCCCCCGCTGGGAACGGTCCAGTCTCTAAAAAGTACATAATGGCGCTGCCAAGTGGATCCTGTTTTTGCTCAATCAGCATGTCATAAGGACGAATGCATATCGGAGGTGTCAAAGGAGTCTGGGCTAAGCAGACCGGAAATTCGACGATGTCCTCGGCTAGCGCAGTACCATCTTCGAAACGATCGTTACTGGACTCTGCACGGCTGAGAAAATCGGCTACTACATTGGAAGATCTTTTTAAATACTCGATCTTAACATTATAACTTTGTAATTCAACTGCCCACCGAGCAAGATTATCATGGGTCTCATTGTGACGTAAGAGAAAGGTGAGAGGTTTGTGATCGGAATAGATACGTGTAAGATTACCGTAATAGTCGTACGAAAGAAGCGAAGAGCGCTGATCATGGCAAATAGCTCAATATGGGTGGTGCCCCATTTGCGTTGGGAATCTGATAGCGTTTTACTATAGTATCCGACTGCAGCTAATTTTGAAGATACCTCCTGTTCCTGTAACAGGACTGACCCGATTGCAACCTTGCTCCCATCCGTGTGGAGAACAAATTCGTGGTTTCTCGGAAAGGCCAAGCATGGCCGGGAAGTAAGCGCCTCCCTGATGGAAAGAAAAGCCTTTTCCTGTTCTGTAGTCCATTCGAATTTAGCCTTACCTTTACAGAGGGCGTACAATGGGGCCGCCATCTCGGCGAACCTTTTGATAAACTTCCTAAAGAAGTTTGTCATGCCGAGAAACCCTTTTACCTCCTTTATCGTGGTGGGGCGTGACAACTTACGAATGGCGTTGATATTACGCTCGGCCGGACGATAAGCGTTATGAGCAATTTCGTGACCAAGAAATGTAATTTTTGACTGTGCTATGTCAGTCAGCTTTTTACCTGAAGCTTTAATATTGAACAGTCGAAACCGTTCAAAAACTTTACGAAGTGAGGACAGGTGCGAAGGGAAATCTTTGTCAAAGACGATCGT